CCGCCCGGGGGGGAGCGGGGCGCGGCGCCCCGCGGGGCCCCCTCCCCCCGCCGTAGTCCCGCCGGGGGTCCAGGCCGGAGAGCTGGGGCAGGGAGGCCCGCGGCTGCGCCAGCAGGGCCGAGCTCTCCATGCGCTCCCCGGCGGCGTCCTGCCGCTGCCGTGCCCCGGCCCATGCGCCCTGTTGGCTCTGGTGCAGGGAGTTGAGGGAGTACGGGTCGCTGACGTGGGAGTACGGGTCCTGGCTCTGGTAGTGAGCGAGCGGCTGGTAGGGGGGCGGGAAGTAGGGGGGCTGGAAGTCCGACGAAGGGGCGTGTGAGAGCGGCGGCGCGCTGGAGTATGGGCCGCCGTGAGACACAGAGCCCAGCTGGGACAGACGCGAGCTGTGGCTCGAAACCCCGTCATGCCGGTCCTGGAGGAACAAAAGTAAAAATTGAAATAATATAAATAGAGTATTTTACAAAGTAATAAACCAATATTTGAACACAAATATAAGTACACGAAGGCCCGGCGTGTATGTATATATAAGTATATATTTATGGAGTAGTGCCTGTGGTGCTGCAGTGACAGCAGTGATGGTGGAGCTCCTCCACAAACTGCACTAAAGTGCCTGAAGGTAAAAAAAAAAAAAACGTTATACAGCTTTAAATTAAAACCTCACTCCGCTGTGAGGAGTCCAGCTCCTGGAGCAAAGACTGGGGGAGAAAAACGGGGGAGAAAGGGAAGGAGAAGACTCACCGCGGTGGAGTAGGAGTGAACTAACATCTGTAAAGCCTCTACAGTCGGTGTCAGGGTAAAAGAGCAGCTGCTGAGATGCTGTTGGGCCAGAACACCCCAGACTCAGACTGGGCCTGGACTAAAGTTCCACACAGAACGAAACACGAACCCTCTCTTCTCCGCCTGGAGCCTCCTCCTCCTCCTCCTCCTCCTCCTCTTCCTCCGCCGCCGCTGCTGCTGCTGCTGCTCTTTTAGTGTGAGCCCGGAGCTCCCTCCTCCTCCTCCTCTCCTCTCCTCTCCTCTACTCTACCCCCGGTTTGTGCTGTAATTGTTATTCATGACTGGGACTTACAGGAATATTAATGTGCGTGAGGCAGGGGGGGACTCTGCTGGCGACACACGGAGCGTGAAGCCTCTCTCTCTCGCGCGCGAAGCCCTGAGTGACGTTTTAAATTCCGTGGAGAGCCGGAATGACGCGCCAGCAGCAGGAGATAGAAAAGTAGACTCTCTTTAAATGAGTGTGTGTGAGGGAGAGAGAGAGAGAGAGGCAGGAGAAGGTGAACAGGGGGAATCCACACCCGTGAGGTAGTTCCCTCCATCACACACTCACAGTAATCGCTTTGAGGGGCAGAAATCTGACGCAACAAAGTGGCGCAGACCTGTCCTGCCTTTGGAGACGGTTTGGCACAAAACGGTTTTGTTGCGCAAAAGGCGTCGATTTTTTCCCAACAGTAATGGAAGTCGACGGTGTCAGAGCAGCGGGGCGGTGGTTCACAGTGACGGGTCACTGACACCTGGGCTGAAGCCGCTGAGCCGCTGGTTCATCTTTACGCACAGATTCATCCACATTTAATCCCAACTTCCACGTTTTACGGCAGACACTCACGGCCTCACACACAGTGTGTGTTTGTCAATAACACGACATATGTAGTTTCTGCACAAATGGGATTTGCCATAATGTCCGATAATGGATGCTTGAGGTGCTCACTCCACCCGCTTCCGATTTGCCTTCGATGTGAACCTTAGTCCAGTGGTTCTTAGTCTGTCAGTCAGTGACTACATTTGAACAGATTGGCACAATTTTTTTTCCGTGGAACAAACAGATGAGAGGGTTCACTTTTACGCACAGACGCAGTTTGAGTCCTGACTTATATTTTATATTTCCTGCCTTTATTACTTCACATTAAAACGTTGATTACAATAATTACTTATAATTTTGAAATAGAGATAATTCTGTTTTCTCTGACATCTTTCATCCACATGTTCTTTTTTTGTCGTCCAGTCTTTGGTGTTTTCTGTCCAACTCACAACATTGATTTGGACTCTGATTATTTTGCGCAGTTGGACTTGACATCACATTCAGGTCGATCAGTTTTGGGTCAAAATAAAAAGATGACTTAAATTCAGATTTTGACCTTCACGCATGAAATTAAATATCCGCTTGATATTTTCCTATTTAACTCGTATTCATCCTCCTGACTCGAACCAACTCGTCTGTAAACGTCTGTGTTTTGGTACCCAGCCCCTCACCCATTCACCCCCGACCCCCCAAAAATAAAATCCTGACTCGAACCAACTCGTCTGTAAACATCTGTTTTTTGGTACTCAGCCCCTCACCCATTCACCCCCCGACCCCCCAAAAATAAAAATGACGATTTAAAATCTATTCTCAAAATCAAATTCTAACTTTGACGCAAAAACAAAAAACACAACATTTCCAGCTTTTGGAGAAAATCCAGGCCTTTACCAGTCAAACCAGTCAAAGTCAATGCGGTTTTTTTTATATATCCTGCATTAAAATCCACTTTACGCACGGACGCGGCACTTTATCAGACATTTTCTTCCACAAATCTCTCCCTTCTCAGCACGTTCCTGAAGTGACCTTTGATTTTTAAAGACATGTAACAACTGAAATCCTACTTCTTTTTGTAAAACTATTCTGACTCTGAAGCAAAGACGCCAATACACATCAACGCCTTCCTGCTCCAGCTCCAGT